AGCAAACTAGGACATCCCCACTAAGAAGAATCATCCTGGGGACAAAGGAAGGAGCTCTGGATTTGCAGTCACAGACCCTTGGCTCCACTCACAGTCCTGCTATTCACTGTGCAATACTGGAAATATCTTGCAACTTCCATTCATTCATTCATTCATTCATTCATTATTTATGGGCATCCACTGTTCATAAATGGTCAGGCAGTATGCTTGTGACACATCAGGGCTTCCTGCCCTCTTGTGTGCCTGTGCGTGTATCTGTGTATGTGTGTGTGTGTCTGTGTTGCTGTGTGCGCGTGTGTCTGTGTGTCTGTGTGTGCGTGTGTGTCTGTGTGTCTGTGTGTGCGTGTGTGTCTGTATGTGTATCTGTGTGTGCGTGTGTGTCTGTGTGTCTGTGTGTGTGCGTGTGTCTGTGTTGGCAGAAACAGTTAATAAACACAACAAATAACAGCCACTTAGTTGGCATGTTAGAAAGGAGACGTTTATGCACAAAGTTGAAATGGATAAGAAGGACCATAGGGTGCTTGGCTAGATGTGCAGTGTTTGTGATCAGTGATGGCCACCTTGAGATGGTCACATCCAAACAAAGACCAGAGGGGAGAAAGAAGGATCCAGAGGAGGAAGAAGCCCAGGCAGAAGGAGGCGCTACAGTGATGTGCAACTGTCCCTCCACAAGGAGTAGTGAAGAGCCAGGTGGGCGGGAGCAATCACCAGCTTGCATGGGGCAAGGGAGTCCTGGGATAGTTTTAACCTAAACTACGCTACAGTGATGTGCAACTGTCCCTCCACAAGGAGTAGTGAAGAGCCAGGTAGGCGGCAGCAATCACCAGCTTGCATGGGGCAAGGGAGTCCTGGGATAGTTTTAACCTAAACTATTCCAGGCGATGACAGAACTGGGAAGGGAAACCCTGGACCAGGCCCAGCCTTTGATCTCTGATTGCTCACTAGTCAGTGAACAGTAAGGCAGTGGCCTTGAGCCAACACTACAGAGGGTCTGCAGGTGATTTTCCAGTCAAGTGGAAGCTAGAGACTCAACGTCAAACCCCACTGTCTCATAAACCTTCCAAGGGTCAATCAACTTCTACTTTCCCCCCAAATGGTCAAGAAAGGCTTCTCTCCCTCAAGGTCTACCATGAAAAGGAATATAGAGAAAATGTGTATGGGGTAGGGAAGACGTGTGTCACTGTGGCTAGTGACTCAGGGGCTGTGGGACACTTTGCAGAATCCATGCTGTTCTGGCCATTCCACGAGCATAATAAAAATGTGAAATTATTTTAGTATTTTATGAACTGTAAACCAAGCTTGGTTTCTAAGATCCCAAGTCTTACAATTTTTCTTCAGGACTGCCTGTTAGAGGTCATATTCTGACCTTCAGATTATTGAAGATTTTTATATATTTCTGCCCTTCGCTCAAATGAAAATGATGTGTGTCAAGATTAAGTGTCCCTAGCCACTTGTCCATCAAGTAGGCAGGAGCTGGGTCCCTCTGCTCTGTTTCTTCATATGCCTCACTCGTATCTAATGACAGCACAGAGGAAATAGAATCATTGTCAGCAGAAATAGTCAGTGCAAGCAGAACCCCTAGAAGGGTTTCTGGGGGTTGAGAAGCATAGTTGGTGAAGTGCTTGACTTCTAAACACAAGGACCTAGGTTCCATCCCCAAGTAACACAGTCCAAGGGAACAGACTTTCTTACTGAGGCAGCCTCTAACACATTCACAGCTACCTGTCCGGATGTCATGGTTGACGCCTTCCACAGAAATGATGGCATTTGGGATTCCTTTTCCATGTAAGTCTCGCACCATGCCTTTGATGCCTCGATGAACCTGCACAGCAAATGCAAGAAATGGCAAGTCACTGGGCAGCTCCAGACACCAACACAAGGAAGGGGTCTTCGCGCCTAATATCAACTCAGTCCTCATGTCTAGCTCAGAATTTCCCAGGCTCTGTGTACAGTTGGTGGAACTTTTGTGGCTCATGCACAGGAAAACTTCTCACTGCAATTAAAATCTTCCAAAGGTGTAAACTTATTGAGATCTAGAAGTTTCATAAAAATATACCCACTAGGGTATATTAGGGCTGGGGTGTAGCTCAGACATAGAGGCTGTGGTTCAATCCCCAAATCCTCTAAAAACTGGAATTTAATTTTATCAGGAATAATTATTTGGGCTTCTTTGGGTTCCATGGACTTAATAACATAGGAACTAGGGAGAAAAGGGAAGACTCAGAGGCCATCTAAAAGTGACAGCTCCAAGTAGAGCCTGTCTATGAACTAGCTGTGGCACACGGCACTCACCAGCTCTAAACCTGTGTCTCCCCGTCTGTGATAATGTGATGATCCAAAGCAGCATAGCAATTTCTCCAATGATGATCCTTACACATATTACTGAGGCTGGGATTTTATCTACAGGGAGCCATGGCTTCAGAAAGGCCAGGTTACCACAGTCAAGGCCTTCGCTCTTCTCCACAAGAGAAAAGGAGCCTTCCCCATGGAATTCCAGGACTGGGATAGAAGGTGCTTTAATGGCTTCCTGAGAGAAGGGAACTGGTTCACACTCTCTGTGCCAGGGAACTTCCTGGGGCCCTTCTGAGGCAGATGCGTTGTAAGAACCAGGTACAAACCCCTGCCACCTGTGCAGGAGTCCTGCCATAAACTCAAGAAACTGGTGCCCAGGTCATGGGCTACAGGCATTGTTTGACTCCTGTACAATCACCCATCGAAATAGTTGACCTCTATGCCCAGCCTCAGGACCTTTCTTACTCCCAGGAGGAGTGAAGCTGGAGTTACATAACTAATGTGTGAAAATGGCAGGGCATTGTGGCCGGACATGTACTCTAGTTGCTCTCATCCTTAGTGGAGTCTGATTCTGAAGTTGCACCTCTACATTAAGCTAGCACTGGCCAACTTATTAAAGCTACAAGATGGGTGTGTCCTTGAGAATGTGAAGAGAGAAAAGTGTCAGAGGACAGTAGGTCCTCACCAGCCCACACACATGTATATGGCAAAAATGACCCTGAGTAACTCACTCCAAGTCCTGCAACAGTGACTCTGAAGGCCTGGGGGGTATAATAGGCTGCATTAGGTACCCTAAAATCCCTATCCTGAAGCCTGAACTCCAGGACCTCAGAATGGGAAGTGCATTTGCAGACAGGGCCTTGAAAGAAGTGATGGATGGGGCTCATCCAACATTACCCGTGTTCCTGTGAAAAGAGGGGCTGTGGCTACACACAGGGAGCACATGTGCAGAGGGATGGCTATGTAAGAGGCAGCCAGAGACTGGCCCTCTGTAAGCCACAGAGAGGCTGCAGAGGAAACCAACCCACGGCACCTTGACCTTGCACTTCCATCTTCAGAACACACACCTGCCATTTCAGACCTGCAGTCTATGAGATTCTCCCGTGGTAAAAGCAGAGTAAGACAAGGTACCTCTGCATGTTGGCTTAGACAACACTACACTCCGCCCTGTGCCACCTCCTTTGTCCTAAGCCAGTGGGGCATCACCAGTGATTAGAGTTCCCTCTGTGGATCTGATCAGGTATAAACAGATGGCTATTCCCTGCAGCACTGGGGGGCCCAGCAAAATAGCTGAGGCTTGACTCATTCTAGTTCCACCTGTTTGGAGCAGACTCAGCTGTAAGTGCCAGTGCCACCCCCTGCCACCTGTGTGGAGATACACCCACAGGACCAGGAAGCCGACACCCAAGCCATGGGCTCTACAAAGCACCCAAGTCACCCATGACCACGATTTTCCTTACATCCATAACCTATTCTTAGCTAATTCTGCTCCTCCCAGCCACACGCCCTCCACACCTGTTCCATGAATACAATCAGAGATTCCCGGTTATTCTCCCATTCTTCGGGCAGCTCGCTTTCATGTGGGTATTTATCACAACCCACGTAGATGGACAGCTCAAAGCAGTTCGTGTGGAGGTAGCTGAAGTCGTTCAGACCTGCCAAGCCAACCAGATACCTTAAATGAACAATACTTCAAGTGGCACAGGGAAGGCAGCCAAATACAGCCAAGAATGTTCAAGTACATTCAAAAGTCTTCAACAGAATAGGGAAGCATTAATACTTCACTATAGGCAAACACAGAAGAGCAAGTGTGCCTGGGTGGGGAAGAGGAGAGAGAAAATGTGGTTCATTAGGACTGAGATGAGGAAAGATCTACCCAGAGGTGTCTGACAAAGGGTAGGCAGACACTGGTGCAATAGTGGCATGAATGTCACGGGAGTAACCAACCACTTGCCGATTGGATTTAAGACCTGCTCCACAAGGTGAAACTTATACCTGGCACTGTTGTCTTAGCCAAGAACCTATCATGGGCTCTAGGGGAGAACGTACTAGAACTATTCTGCTAAATGGACATAGTATTAAACCAACTCCTCATGGCTTATATTCATAGATCAGTTCCTCTCTCAACCATCCTTCATCAGAGAAGCTTCTTGCAGCAGATGGCAATTAATGTTGACCACAACCAGTCAAGGAGCAGAGAATCAAAGCCTTCAGAATGCTCAGCCCTAGATGGGACACGTACCACACCCTCTCCTCCCAAGGCTCAGATATCATTGTGGAAGAGGAAGCAGAATGATTGTAAGACCCAGAAGTAAGGATGAATACAAGGAAACTGTTTTCCTGACACAACAGGGCAGTTATACATATGTACTCACAGTATTTGTGATAACATGCACAAGACCTCCTCAAACTCAAACCAGTCAAAATACCAGCATGAGGAGGTGGGCATGATGCTGCCACCCCTACCTGAAGAACTACTGCCAAGTGATAGCTTCTGGGAGAGGAAGTCAGTTTTCTTTATGAGTGTGGCCTCTGGAATACAAGGTACACAGTGGGATTGATTGAATTCATGGAAACTCCTCCACAAGGGCCTGGTCCAAGTCCAGGTCTATTCATCTGTCAACTTCAGTGTGGGGTTATAGAGGGCATCTGGGGTCTGTGGCAACAGAGTCACTAGTCAGTCCAGGTCATAACTCTTAGGAGTGGATTCCCCTTGAGCCTAAAGGTATCAGTCCCACTCCCTTAGGCCCTCTCAAAGATAAAATAAATGTGGTCATTAGATGTTCTGTAGTGGGCTTCTCCCTTTGCAAGATGCATCTTTGAAGCACTGGAAACCTGAGATGCTCTGACAAAATGATGAGAAACTCTGGCCTTGGAGCAGCTCCGGCCAGGCTGTCTCTGACATCCCACCCTTCAAGTGAGGCCTTGCTCAGAGCACAGCATAGGAAGGGCCTCAACTAGGAAACGCCATTTCCTATCCTTCCTGTCTGAGGCACCAGGCTCTGCAACACAGCTTGGCATTTCTAAACCTTCAGTCCTGGCTAGGGCAAGAGACATCCTTCATGCTCTGTGACTGAACTATGTTCCCATTCCATACTTCACTAGGGCACTGGGAACTGCTCATCCCATCAAGCCCTGTATGTGGATTCTCCCATGACACTTGCCATCCTCGTGGCTGACAGTACAGTTCTGCAGCAGGAACAGTGTGCCCCGTGTCACTCTGGATTTCAAAAGCCCACGCCGTCCACACTGGGCATTTTGAAATGCACCAAGCCTCACTTGCAATCACCTCCCTTCTCACTCACTGCTGCCTGCAGTGCACTGATAATGAGTGAGAAAGAATTGAGCAGAGACAGGGGGAGGAAGGAAATTAGAAATCACATTTCATTAATCTATGAAGAAATGAATCTGCAGACTCCAGCACACAGGCAGAAAGGATGAAGGAAAAGGCTCAAGTCGCCATGTGGCTCTGCCAAAGTCCCCCAGAGTAGAGCAAGTAACGGATACAGCAGAAACACCAAACGCTTCCTGTTCCTGTATGTGGAAGCCTGCATCTCATCACGTGACCACTCACCCGACAATGGCAAATTCAGCAGCACTTGTACATGATTTAGTCACAGCAGCCTTAAAAAATAAGCATTTTTACTTAAGAGAGCTTTAGACAGGTCTTTAGAGCTAAACTTGAAAATTTTAAAATGCCTTATGGTATTAGAAAATTTTCTGATAAAAGAAAATTTGTGCCGGACATGGTGGCACACACCTTTAATCCCAGCACTTGGGAGGCAGAGGCAGGCAGATCTCTGTGAGTTCAAGGCCAGCCTGGTCTACATAGTGAGTTCCAGGATAGCTGGGGCTACAGGGAGACCCTGTCTCAAAAAAGACCAAAAAAAAAAAAAAAAGAAAGAAAAAGAAAATTTGTGGGTTTTTTTGTATTTTGTGGAGGTCAAAGTCATTGTAGAGACAGAGAACATGTCTCCACTTGAACTGTCACCAAGGAAAAATGGTATCCTTTCTATGTACATTTTGAAAAGACCATGGGAACAAATATTTTTATTTTTTGTTTTCTTTTTCAAGAGCAGAGCCTACTTGAAAGTATTCGAAGGCTGAATTTACAGCAAAGTAAAATACTACTGGAATTAAGTAGTGTAATGGAACTAAGAATAAGATAGGTTCGTGAAATCATAGAGTGTTCTAGTGTCCTTTCCAGTTACCATGATAAAGTATCCTGACAGAAAGCAACCGAGGGGAGAAGGGGTTTATTTGGCTGACATTCCAGGTTATACAGCACCATAGCAGCGAAATCACAGTGGCAGGAATTTAAAGCGGCTAGTCATAACATATCCACAGTCAAGAGTGGAGAGAAATAAACACATGCACGTCTACTTGCTTGCCTGTGCTCAGCTCCATCTCTCCCTTTTATTCAATTCAGGACCCTCTGCCTAGGGAATGGTGCTGCCCACAGCGGGCTGGGTCTTCCCACACCAATGAATTTAATTAAGACAATCCCCCATAGACATGCCCATAGGCCAACCCAGTGTAGACAATCTCTCCTTGAACTGCCTTCCCAGATGATTCCAGGTTGTGTCAAGTTCACAGTTAAGGCTAACCATCACACAGGAATTTCATGGTGAGCATGCCCTAGAACAGAAAGGAGGCAGTTGGGGATAGACATTTATGCTGAGTGTTTCTGATCAGCCAGACACGGAGCACATCCACACCCACCACTTATATGATCCCACCACATATTAGAGGGAGACGTCACCCCATTATCACCATGCCTAATTTACTAATAGAAAAGTGTGGGGCTTCAGAGAAGTAAAGTCATCCAAGGTCTCGCAGCATCTGAATGTTACACTCAGATTTGAACCCAGATCTACTGGATGTGGAATATTTCTCAGATTCAGCATTCTCTTGATAGTCCTCACAACATGAAGAAGACAAGCATTTTGCCCTAGGCTGGGGCTTCAACCCATGCAGAAGACTTTAGGGAATGTGCTATTCTCGTCCCTTCTGGAGTAAGAGTCCTGGATTAGAAATGGCTCAAGACAGACAGCAAAGTGTAAACCCTGACATGCAAACCACAGGATTTTCCAGCTGCTGCCAAATGATTCTGGGGTCCCTTTGGGAAGCCGCTCCAGTCCATGTGGAGGCTGGGAGCAATGCCTCATATTTCCAATGCTGTTCACAGCTGCCTTTGACACATGTCATGAGTGACCAGGTAGCCAGCCTGCTTACCACCAGCAGACAGCAGATGTACATGCCTTCATCTCATGGAGCTCCCAGGACACACCATCAGCCCAGTCACTTCACGTATGAGCTGGGATCAGAGCCAGAATCTTGGCAGGCTCACAGCCTACAACAGTCCCCCAGGTCTGAGCAAAGAGCACTATGCTATAGAACCAGGGTGCCCTGCCCCTTCCATGGGTTCTCTTTTGGGTTCATTTGCCACTGAGTTCACTTTCTCCTGTCTCTAGCCCTATGAAATCTGAATATCTCTATTAGTTTCTTATTGTGCAGAGTCCCAGCAATCTTCAGGTTCACTCATTCATAAAATGAAGAATAAGCTACATCAACCCCTGAGAACACAGTAAGGGTTAAAAGAGAGTCTTCATAGAGTACAAGGCAACAAGCTGTGGAAGCCACTGATGACAATTGTACTGCGTATAATGACAAGAAGGGGTCTTGGGAGGAGGCTTGGGAGAAGATTCTCTCTGTGACGGTTAATACTGATTATCAATTTGACAGGATCTAAAGTCACCTATGAGACACACCCCTGGGCCTGTCTGTGAGGGGCTTTCTAAATTGAGTTCATAGAGTTAGGAAGATCTCACCTTAACTGTGCATGGCACCATGTCATGGACTGACATCCTGGACAGAATAAAAAGGAGAAACCAAGCTGAGTGCCAGCATTCATCTCTAATTCCCAACTGCAGATGCACTATGACCAGCTACCTCCTGCTCCTGCCGCCATGCCTTCTCCACAATGATGGACTGTACTCTCAAACTGGGAGCCAAAATAAACCCTTCCTTCCTTGTTTTTGTCAGGTGTTTTGACACATCACAGATAAAAGTACCACTGCACAGCCCATGATCATTTGGTTCCCATCTGGGACTTACTTCCAGCCACGGTGTGCCAAGAAGCCCCATTGACGGTGCCCTCCTCTTTCTGAAAGTCTTCCGTGTGGCACACTCGCCTCCTGGCATCTGTCATGAGGCGGTGAGTGGAGGCATAGGAGTAGGCCAGCCAGCGGAACACATGATCGTCAGGTGTTGGGGTGTGTTCTTGGGTCTTCCACGGGGACCGTACCATGTCATAGGGGTATGCCACCACCAGCTCACCCCCCTGCAGGTTACCACCCAGCACAAAAGGGATCTTCTCCATCCAGGCAATGACCGCTCTGGTCTCCATGGCCACCTGAGAATGTACAAGATTGACAAAGAAAAGGAAATTGCTTCACCTCCCTAGCTTTCAAAAAGGGGAAATGCAGGACAGGTGTGATGACATATGCCTGTAATCCCAACACCCAAGAAGCAGAGGCAGGTCAATCACTGTTGACTTTGAGGCCAGCCCAGTCTACATAGCAAGTTCCAGGCAAGCCAGGGCTATATAGTGAGACCCTGTCTCAAAGAAAAAGTTGGGGGAGGGTGTTTTGGAAAAGGTAGTGATTTTATAGAATAATCTTAGCAACAATTAGAATCTCAAAACATTCCCTGGGGAAACTGGGCTTTGTGGACGATAGACCCAAAAGGGAAAGGGGAGACATTTCTAGTGCCGCACATTCCAGGGAATACTGATTTTATAGAATAATCTTAGCAACAATTAGAATCTCAAAACATTCCCTGGGAAAACTGGGCTTTGTGGACAATAGACCCAAAAGGGAAAGGGGAGACATTTCCAGTGCCGCACATTCCAGGGAATACGGAAAAGGGATTAAAGGGACACCATTCTGTGACACTCATGAACTCCTGGGTCAGGAATTGTTCCAGCTACTTCTTTTTGATGCTGTGACAAACACCACAACCCAAACTAACTGGGCAAAGAAATGATTTATTGCATTTACATTTCCGAGCCACAGTCCATCTTTGAAGGAAGTCAGACAGGAATTCAGGGCAGGAACTGAAGCAGAGGCCATAGAGGTACACTGCTTACTGACTTGCTCCTCTGGCCTGTGCACAGCCCGCTTTCTCACACAGCCCAGGATCACCTGCCCAAGGGTGGCACTGCCCACAGTGGGCTGGGCCTTCTCACATCACCCATCAATCAAGGAAATGCCTCACATACACGCCCACAGTCCAACTGGATAGAAGAAATTCCCCAGTTGAGGGTCCCTCTTCCCAGGTATGCCAACTTGATAGCTGAAGCCAACCACGACAGGAACGTTTACCCATAACTACACGAGGAAAAGACACAACCAATGCTGTGTCTCCTGATAGAAGGCACAAACCCTCAAACAGGCAAACCTGGATCTGACCATGCCGCTAACTGAGGAGGTCAGTTAGAATATTTTGGGCCATGTGGGCCAGGGCAGCCTGTCACAGCTACTCAGCTCTTGTAGCAAAGAAACACCATGGACAAGTGCAAACATGTGCCAATAGGGGCCACTCAGGAAAGCAGACCTACATAGGCTATGGTCTGCAGCCGTCTGCTCTGTCTGCTCTCAGTCAGACTCAAAGTCACTGTCCATTTCCAGAAAACAGAAGGAAGTGTACATGGCCTCACAGGAATGCAGCCACAGCTGCTCATTCAGAGCCCAGCAGGATGTGAAGAGATAAACGAAACAAACAACCAAATGTTAGGGAAGCGGAGACAGTGGTGGAGGGACGACCTGTAGTTAAAGAAGACTCAGCAGATTATAAACCATTAGACATGAATGCGTGTTATTGGAATCTTGACTTAAACAAACTGAGGGACAAGATTGGATGAGAGGGGAATGAGTGGAGCAAGAGGAGTTCAGTGATTAATATAATAAAGGAAATGGGAACATTGACCAGATACCTCATAATATCAAGAAATAACTTATCTGGGACAGCAGAGATGCTTCAGGGATTAAAGCCACTTGATGACTGGAGTTTGACTCCCAGAACCCACATAAAAAGCCAGCTGCAGTGGCGTGCTTGTATAATCCCAGCACCCCTACAGGGAGATGGGAGGTAGACACAAGAGACCCACCAAGAAGCTCACAGGTCAGCTGGCCTAGAGTACACTGGCGTGCTGTGGCAGCAGCAGCAAGAAAGGCCTGTCTGAACAAGGTGGAAGGAGAAAACCCTCCTGAAAGTGTCTTCTGACTTCCACCTCTGCCACCGCACGCATGCACCCATACGCACATACCAGACAGGAAATAAAGTTTTAAAAAGAAATTACTTATTTTAACATAACAATAACACAGTTTTAAAGGACAGCCCCTGTATTTTAGAGATAACTGCTGAGAGATTTACAAATTGTTTTATTTTTTTTTAATGTGTATGAATGTATTGCCTGCATGTATGTAAGTGTAACTGTGTTGTGAAATGCCTATGGAGGTCAAAAAGGGTGTCGGATCCCCTGGAACTGGAGTTACGGATGGTTATTAGCCTCCGTGTGAGTGCTGGGAATCGAAATGGGTCCTCTGCAAGAGCAACCAGTGCTCTTAACCACTGAGCCATCTCTCCAGCCCAGTATTTACAAACGAAATGAATGATGCAGTGCAGGGGTCTGCGATAGTGGGAGGGGAGGAGGGAAGCCTGGGTGGTCCCTAGAAAAGACAGGAGCCGGAACATGTCAAAGCACGAGTGCTCATGGGCTCGTTCTCTAATTTTGTATGCTTGGCCTTTTGTTAGAAAAAAAAAACAAACAGTTAAGGCAAAAGAAGAAAGCTGGCAATGTTGAAAGTTTAAGTTAGAAGTTCGGCATGGCCAAATACAGACGTGAATCAAATTAGATTACAGTCAATTTCTAATCGCCATGAAGGTAACGTCAGCAAGCTAAAGCTGGTGACCACAGAGCAGCAGACACTGGGAATCACTTCACTGTGCTGACTTGCTGGGCTTTACTAAGTTTTGCTTTGGTTTTAAGCACACCAATAACGGAACATAGCTCATAAGGGAACATTACTCGTTACACAGACTCCATACTGGTCTGTGCTGTGAACCCTCAGTCTAACCCAAGACCCAAGTCTCAGCAGCAGTATCTATGCACACATGTGATGTCATCCCCCACGCCACCGCTTTACAGACCTGAACTCTTGTCCTGAATGCAACTATTCTCCTGACCTTCTCTTTTGGTTCAACAATATGTAGACCTAAAAACAGTTTGGTTTTACTTTTCCTTCGCATTTTTTCACTTAATTTACATTCCGAAGATCCATCTCTGACTTTAATGAAAGCTGCTGCTCCGTTTTTTCACTTCACTAAGGAGGAGCTCATTTATCTACGTGTGTGACGATGAACAGTGAGCAGTCTTCAACCTTTTGCTACAAGAAACAGCGTCCTTGGATTCTCTTACACTGTGTTCTAGTACACATACCACCAGAGGAGGAACTGTGCATAACATCTCACCAGAAATCCACTTTGCATGTGTCGTTAGAAATGGAACTGTGTATTTACATTGTGATTGGTGAAAGCTGAAGATTATTTCATGGCCCTGTAGTGGACGGTGATGAAGACGATGGTAATGACAAATTTGTGTGGTGCAGGGGGTTGTTTTGGTTTTTTACAATTCAGTAGTTGTAAAGAAATACAATTAAGAGATTTCCACAAAAAGCTCTCCAACATACCAACGTACAACGTACTCATCATCTAGTACTTTTGGACGAAACAAGAAAAAATGTCGGCTCTGTCTCTTTACTCCTCTACAGCATATCCACAGCAGGCACCCTTCAGCTCTTTGCTACCCTACAAACGGGAGGTATATTTACTCACCGTGGCATTTTCAGACAGAAACCACTCAGGGATGGCAATGTAATGGTTGGGGACTGTCCTTGGGACATTCTGCCGGTCCTCTGCCTCCCAGAGCAGCGTGTTTAAATCTGGAAAGTTGTTGTTGATGTCGAGCCCATCATGAGTCCAACGTCCCAGGGACCAGCCTCCCAGCTCAGAGCCCTGAGAAGATTCAGAATGTAAAGAGCTCACAGATTTCAGGAGAATCCAGGTTCATGCCATGTGTGACACACCTGAGTCCATCTCTTGCCTGTGTCCCTAAGAGTCTGGAAACTCTTGGAAACCAAGGAAAGTATCACCAGATAATATGAAAAAGAAAACCTGCTACTAACATTTGATGAACAGAGAATGATATAGCTACATCACTCCAAAGAGGACACCCAGAGACCAACTGTGCCATATGGTCATGAGCAAACACCTTAGCTCGCTTCTCTCCCCTTTCCCCTCCCCATTCTTCCAAACCTTTGAATATTAAAGCCTGGGACTGCAACATGGTGGTGTCACATAAAACTAACACAGTACCAGGGTATTCTCTCTCCCCTACCTGGATTCCCAACTTGAGAGTTAGCATTGCAAATCCCTAACCAAGGATCTGCACCAGTAATAGCAAACACAGTCAAAGCACTCTACTTTAGAGCTTGCATGTGATAGGCACCACTGTTTATAAAGTGGCCTATTTTATTCCAGATATTGTGAAATAACACTATTGGTTAGCTATGTGACATAACACAAATAGAGTCTGTACATAATCGTGTACATATATATATATTTTTGTTTCTTAATATTTTATTATTTTTAATCATTTTTTAGATTTTTAATAACTACATGATTAGAAGAAGCATTTCATTACAGATTTAACATATGACCTATACAAATTCTGTACCATAAGTAGAAGATAAAATATAAACAATATTGCGGGAGAATAAAAACAGCCATCCTTATGGACCAGTGAGGGCATCAGAGATAATAACCAAGGCTAGCACATGCCTCAAACTGTTCAGTCCACACAAGATGCTACTACATCTGGCATGGCCATTGGCTATACCGCAATGCCATCACTCATGTGGGCACTCTCCAGTTTGTGGGCACATCCCTCTCTCAGGATCATCATAGCTTCAATTCCTGTTTTCCATCCCCCAGCCTCAGCAAAGAGACACTCAGAAAGAAGGTGTAAGGGGGAGACAGCTCAGTTGGTAAAGTCCTTGCCATGCAAGCATGAGGACCTGAATTTGTGTCCTTAGCACCCAGGTAAAAAGCCGGATGTAGGAGTGGACACATGCCATCCCAGCACTGGGGAGGGAGAGATAGGCAGATCCCGAGTGCTCACTGGCCAGCCAGTCTAATTGAATCTGTGAGCTTCCTGTTCTATGAGAGGTCTCTTCTCAAAAAATAAAGCAGAGGGACTAGAGAGATGTCTCAGCAGTCTAGAGCTCTTGCAGAGGACCCAGTTCGAGGCCCAGCACCCACATGGCAGCTAACCACTGTCTGTAACTCCAGTTCCAGGGAATCCCACACCACCTTCTGACCTCTGTGGGCATTGTACAACACTGGTGCACCTATCTACATGCAGGCAATACACTCATACACATAAAAGAAAAATAATAAATAAAATATTAAAAAATAAAGTGGAGAAGCTACTGAGAAAGATACCTAGCAACAATTTCAAGGCCTCCACATACATGTACACACATGTATTACATATGTACCTGCATATACATGCACACACATAGGAATACCACACACACACACACACACACACACACACACATACACACACACAAAAAGAGACGAGAGAGAGAGAGAGAGAGAGAGAGAGAGAGAATGAGAATGGGAATGAGAGGCTTTAAGATTCTGGTGAACTTGGGCTGAGCACACTCTGAGTTGGAGCCTGTGGTGTTGAGTCAGGGCTAATATACACACCCCCTCACAGGCCTTCTCATAACCATCTGGGTTGAGGGAGGGCAGGATGTGGATCCGGGTCTCCTCCACCAGGCGGACGATGCGTGTGTTCTGCGCTAGGTACTCCTGGCACAGGAACTGCAGCAGCAGCAGCAGCAGCTCGCGGCCCAGCACCTCATTGCCATGGGCCCCTGCGATGTAGTGGAACTCGGGCTCACCTTGATAGATACAGAGACACAGGTTCCTTCAGGTATGAAGCCACACAGGGCTTGGCAGGGTTTGGAATGACATAAACTTACCTTATAGCCATATATGTTCAAATAAACCTCTAATATTACATCGGGATAATTATTTTATACTCAAATATTCAAGTATGCAAGAAAAGGCATAGACAAGTCCAAACTGGCAGGAGCCACAGGGTGCATGTACATTCTTACTTAACAAGAAGAGAACAAGTAATCCAGTGCTCAAGGCTTCAAGCAAGACACATGCCACAGCAATTACTTTTTACTTCCAGGATGCAATTTTTCTTCAGAGAACTTCCTGTCAAGTTTTAGAAGGACCCAAAAATGACAGAAAGAAGAAGAAAATAGCTGGGCAGGGCAAGTCATCAGGGACACAATTTGGATAATGGTCTGAATAGTTTCCCTTTAAAAGCACAGCTTCTGGGGGGCATGGTGGTGTATACCCTTCATCCCAGAACTCAGGAGGCAGAGGCAGAGGCATAGGCAGAGGCAGGAGGATCTCTGTGAGATTGAGACCAGCCTAGTCTACATAGCAAGCTCCAGGATAGCTGGGGCTACAGGGAGACTCTGTCATAAAACAAAACAAAACAAAACAAACAAAACAAAACATGCTTAGCTTCTGAAACGAGAGTTGCTATAACTTAGCCATGTGTGTTTCCCTAAAATTCATGCTGAAATTAAGACCCTGTGATAGCTTTAAGAGGTGGGGCCATAAGAAAGGAATTTGGGATCAATATCCTTACAGAGCCCTCTGGGAACATAGTCTTCCACCTGCCCTATACCATGCAAGGATGGAGGAGGAGGAGGAAGAGGGGGAGGAGGAGGAAGAGGGGGAGGAGGAGGGGGAGGGGAAGGGGGAAGAGGGGGGTATCCTCAGATACCAGATTTGCTGGCATCTTGATCTTGAAGTTCCAAGCTTCCACAATTGTGAGAAATAAATTCCTGTTGGTTAATAAGAGATGCAGTCTGAGGTATTTTGTTACAGCAGCTGAGCAGACTTGGACATGGGGCTCCATTGTCCAAGCTGCCATGTGTGTGGAAATTTTATCCACAGGTGAGGCCTTTATCCTTTGAAGGAAGCTCCGAAAATGAACTCTGGAGACAGAGACGCTCAAGGTGAACAAGTTAAACATATCTTTGCACTCAGATTTCAGGGGATTTGAACGAACTCCCAGTTTTACCAACAAGGAAACGAGGGAAGCCCACCAGTCCTGCAGGAGCTCAGAGTGAAGCTGACTGAATGAGAAACAGCTAAAAACAGCCAATCATTAGACACAAGGTAGGGCACCTTCCCAAAACAAGGGAGATCCCATGATCTAAGCCATTCCAGAACCATGGGGCCCAGAAAGATCTGCTAGAAGGGGAGTCTGAGTTCTCTCCAGCCTTTTTCTCCTGTGTCTGGTTATTGGCCTCAGAGGCAGAGAGCACAGTTAGATATGGTCCCTTTGCAGCAAAGGGGTTTATAACTCAAAGAGCTTTATAGCCCTTGTCTTAAGATGAGAGGTTCACAGAACCCAAATCCATTTGTTTGTGTGAAATTTGTCTATCTGAAATGGATGTGGGATGGGTGGTCCTGAATCATGAATGTTCTTATGGTAGGGGGAGTTTTCTAGCTGGGTCAAGAGGTATGAGGAGAAAGCACCGTCATCCTGGTGGGCCTTCCTTACCAACTTCATGCTCCCCAGGATGATCAGAGATCTCCACAGCATACAACTTCAGGCCCTGGTGGCTTTTGCCAATGTTGTAAATCCTGGTGATATTAGGGCACATTTCATTCACAACCTTCATCAACTGAAAGACAAGGTAAATTAAAGGTTTTAAGTGATGATTGCTATGAACCAAAGAGGCAGAGTTCCAAGAGGAATGTTATCTCCACACACCCCTAACTCTCCTGTCCTCCTCAGAGCCCAGCTGCTAAGCACCCTTTCTGGTCCCCTCGTCCCCTGTTTCCCAGGACAATACTCTCCTTTCCAGGCAGACTGTGCCTTTTGTTCATCTCCTCTATGAGACACTCCTGGTCAGTGCCCACCCTGGCCCTGTCCTCTGAGCACACCTGCTTGTGGTTTTAACCTCTTGCTGTAGTCTGAACTCCAGCACCTCACGTTTGTATTGTTCACTTACACAGCTGAGAGTATTTCTGTTATGGGGCTCCCAATAGAGCAAAGTGTCCTCCTCGGTTGGAATTTTCCACTTTCCCTGTTGCTATCATCACCTTATTGGTGGCGCTGTCACCTCCCTGGCTGTGGTCATTACTTTCTCACTATGATTTCCTTCTTTCTTAATTAGTACCTTTGGATATCAATTGCTCAAATAAGTATCATTTGAATATTTTTTTTTCATAATCACTGAACACCTATGCTGAGGAGATAGGGCTTTCTCCCTTCTGGAGCTGGCATGGGGGAGGCATGGAATGATCCATTCATGAGTTCTAAATAAGGATCACACGTGGCACCCATGGTCACAGAGCTCATGGACCTAAGTGGTGAGCAAATCAGGCTGTAGCTGGAAAATAAAGTTTCCTCATGCCATGGGTTGGATTTTGTTTTTGGGTCAGCTCGTCACTCTGACAGAGTTGGTCCATGAGAGTAACAAGAGCTGCCAGGGGAGGTAGTAAGGACTCTGCTAGTCACAGAAGAGCAAGCTTCCCCCAGGGACAGAGGACCAGAGATATCCTCTCCCTAGAGACTGCCTCACGTCTCATCCCTGAACAGGTGTGTGTGAACTAGCTGGTAAATAGCTTTGATTTCTTGAGTGAATATTGTTTTTCAGTCCCCAAGGCACCAGACCTCAGGATTTAACAAACACAGTCATTCACTCTACATTTACTGAGGACCGCACACTTTGCCAGGAGCCCCATGGAGAGCCACAGTGAAGGTAAAAAGGCTGGAGATTGTATAGGATCATTTCAGGGCCATGTGTTGAGAACAGGATGGATGCTCAGGTGCTGGAAGAGCAGAAAGGAAGGGTGTCTCCCTAAGGATGCCCTTAGGAAGGGCTCTACCATTGGAACTGCCCAGTGAGAACAGAGGAGGGAGAAGCCCTAGGGTGCGGGTCTGAATGCACTTGAACCACCTTCCAAACCATTCCTGAGCAGCTGACTGTCCATCCAATGTCCTTGTATATGCTGCAAATTCTACAGTGGGTGAAAATCTATTAGAACTAGAAATTGGTACGATGTAGAGATGTGATATGGGGCAGGTGTGGTGATCAACTTCATTGACCTCATAACTACATCCTGTGAGAGCCAGGCAGAGTGTTCCTAAGATGCTGAGGTTCCAGCTTGGCGTTCACAGCAGACCTATAAGAGGTGATGTTAACAGCCTTGATCGGGAATTCAGGGTCTGATTTTCTCACTGCTCCCGTAGGGGGTGGGTGTTGCTCATTTACTAGTAACTCATTTTGTGCCACAATGTTTAAGTGAGAGAAAGCTGACTGCTAAGGACTCGTGTGCAAGACGGCTGAAGCAGAAACCCACCATGCATCAGAAACACGCTTCCACACCCATCTCTAGGAAGGAGGAATATGGCAGGGGTGACTGCAGCCACGTGACAGGGAGCATGAAAGCTGAATAAAAGATACAGCAATTGTGTCACTAAGACTTACCAGAAGCAGTAAGAATATGTTCTGTTTGTGGAACCACACCATCATGACCATCAGGTAAAGTAGATAAGGCAGAAGTGACTGTACCCATTCTACAGTTGTGAGGACTGAGGCCCAGAGAGATTCTGAGCAGTTTGCTCTGAGCCACCCAGCTGACCCAGGTGGAACCAGGACTTTGGATTCTTCAGCCTTTTCCTACAGTCCTTTTCTGTCCAGGAAAGCACAAGAAAGAAAGGAGCACGTGTCCCTTTCACCTGCGGCACAGCATGACTTCTCTGAAGATAGCCACAGCACACGAGGCCCATGTGCTCATCCTGATGGTCATTGGTCATTCTCAGTCAACAGCAATGACCTCAGCAGGCCCTGATAGCAGGTGAACCACTGTCTTGGATTCAGATAGAATGTCAGTTTTCAGGCTTAAGAGCCAGCTGGCTTGGGGGCTGGAGAGATGACTCAGTGATTAAGATCACTGGCTGCTCTTGCAGAAGTCCTGGGTTTGAATCCCAGCACCCACATGGCAGCTATCAACCATATTCAATTCCAGTTTCAGGGAATGTGATGCTCTCTTCTGACCTCCTTGGGCAATGCACAGCATGGGTATACTTACATACATGCAGGCATTACACTCATACACATAAGAAAAATATATATATACATTTATATATAAAGAGCCAGGCTACAAATGCTTCAGGCACAGGCCTGGCTTCCTTTACTGCTACTTCCTGCCCCCCGTAGTGTGTAGTCATGACCTAGACCATGGCATAAGAGACCATGACCCCAGAATTGGAGAAAGCCTCATCTTGTCTCCCCTGGATGCACACTGAGCAGTGGATGTGAGAAGGCTCTTGGGCTCTCAGTCACCAGAATCCCTTTTGTCTTTGTACTTTATCCTTCCCTGCAATATTTTATCCCAAGCCTGCTTTTCTCGTTTTTTTTAAATGAGCTGGATGCCACTAGTCATAGTATCAAAATCATTTTTCCCTCCTGAGAACATGAAAATTTGAAGCATCTTAACTTTTGGGAAGGCCCTTTCTCCCTGCACAGTAGCACTCTGGACGATTCAGATTTCTTCAGTGGGCCACCAGCCCCATGAAGGACATCCACCTGCTCCTCCCCGCAGGGTCATCATGACCCTCAACAGCGATGAATTTCTCTACTTAAACACAATTCTTTCTTGTAAGAGACTGTAATTATTTGCTCCTGAAAGAAGTCGGACTTTTTTAAATATTTATTTTATGTGTATGAGTGTAATGCCTGCATGTAGGTAGGTGCACCCATGTCATGCAGTGCCTTTGGAGGTGAGAAGAGAGCATCAGATCACCTAAAACTGGAGTTACATGTGGTTGTCAGCCACCATGTGGGTGCTGGAAATCGAACCTGGGTCCTCTACAAGAGCAGTCAGTGCTCTTAACTGCTGAGCCATCTCTCTAGCCCCTTCTTTTTCTTTTTACCTTTTTTAACCCAGGTCTTCAAAACAAATAGGTGAGTCCTAGTGATTAAACACAGACTAAGGAACAGAATTCTCACCATGACCCCAGAGCATGCATTCTCAGCGGGGGTGAAGAAACTGCTTCTCCAGGTCTGAAGCATCTGAGATATCAACATGCATTTTGGCTCCTCAAAGCTCAACCCCACTGGAACAATCTTAAAATTTGGCATAATAGAGGGAAAGTGACTAAGGAAAGAATGTTTTTAAAGGCTCCTTGGAGGGGTAGGTGGGAAAGAGACACGCTAGAGAATACCAGGGTTTACAGGACCTGTTTGTTTCTTCTGATAGAAAGCATTGCACCATCCTATTGTCTATGGAAGCCCGGGCTCCTCCCTTCCCCTCCTTTACTGAAGGAGACAGAAAAACAAGCCTCTTTTCTAGTAATCCCATTTCTGGTAATATATCTGAAGAAAGCTGCTCATGAGGAATGCTAAAATTACACATATGATGACACTTGCAGTGATATGTTTCTACTTTGTCACATTCATTAAAAATTGGGAGATACCCAAATGCTTCAGAGCAGGAGAAAAGCTCAACTACAATGTATCCACCCATCAGACCACACGACAGTGTTGCAACTACAGTTATGAGACAGAAGGGAAGGCAGGATCCAATGTTAACTGAGAGACACAGGGCAGAGATAGCAGTCAGGAGACAGAGGAAGGTGCTGGGGATCCACCGTTAATGAGAGACAGAACAGAGAAGCAGCTGTGTTCTAATCAAAATCTTACAGAACCCGTGACATGAAGTCACACATTGGACAGGAACATCTTGCTGTGCTTTGAGTGTATGTATCCCCCCAATTCATAAGGAAGAACCCAAGACCTAATTCCATAAAACATAAGGGTGGGACCTTTAGAGATTGATTAAATCACACAGGCTCTGCCCTTACAAGTAGAATCTGTGTCCTTATAAATGGGTTCAAGGAAACAAGTTAGGTTATTTTCTCCTACACACAGAAGCCTGGAAACATGTGCCATACTGGAAGTCAAGAGCAGCCCTCACCAGACACAGAATCTGCTGATGCCTTGACTCTAGACTGCCAGTCTCCAGAACTGGAGAAATTACCATCTCTTGTTGAGAAATTACTTGGTCTCAGAACTTTGTAATATCTACGAACAGGCCAAGGCATGAGGAAGATATGAAAATTACTGGTTCGACAGTGCAGTGAGTTTGTGAAGAATTTTTTTTTAGACTTGGGGTTGTATATTTGATATAAGAATGTTTGTCGAGTGGATTAAAATGAATTTTTAAGAACAATTTTTTTAAAAGCAGTAGATAAAAAGTCCCCTTCCACCATCTTTCCTCATACCACCCCAAGTCCAGTGGATAAGAAGTTCCCAGATCAAGGAGACAAGAGGGAATCATAGTGAGGGGCACCATGGGTCAGGTTATCTGGACTTCCAGGTCTACTGCCCTGCCCCAGCTTCCTGTCATCATCGCTCGACCCCAGGATCAGACTGACCACGGAGCATGCCGTTGCCCCTGTAGCCTGATGTCCCTGGCTACCCTCTGCTGCCCTGGACATCAGTACCACTAGCCAGCTGCCCTCCCACTTCTCTCTCACTCCTGAACTGCCATCTACCTGCATCATACTAAGCAGCCACCAACCAACCTGTATCTCTTGAACATCTGGAACCCAGCCATGCCATGCCACCCACTTTCCCTGGGGTAGAAAGATTTCAACAGCAGCCTAGCAGACTCCATGTGGGAAAAGGACTAGGAATGCTGTCTTCTCTCCCAGCCCTGGGAGCCAGCAATCTACATGGAAATTCCTTCTGGCCTGATTGTGCAGCAGGACTGAGAAATGCCCCATGGACAGTTTCCAGCTGAATGCTGTTGGGCAAGGGGGGGTCCTTGAGGACCCTCAGAGGGGTCCCTAAGGTAGCTGCATTGGTGACCTAAAGTCTTCTTAGCTCTGGAATCCTGAGTGGTGATCATCATCATATGAAGCACTCTACCAGCTTTCCTTAGAAGACCTCCAGTTACACATGTGGGACAGCTGTTTAAAGATACCCACATCCATGGCCTCTCTAAGCAGTTAACACTTTGTGTACACTTAGACTTAACACTCTTGAAATTAATTATATCAACTGAATTGGTATTTGTCTTATCTCTGGGCTCAATGAGGTGTCTTGAGATACCAATCAAGCAAGGCTGAGTTAACCTGAACACAGAATGGTGGGCAGAGCCATAAAAATACCCAGAGAAAGTGGAGCGGCAGGCATGAGTCACAGACCTCAAGTCCAAGCACATTATCTTGGTTTCTGAAAAGCAAGACAGTAAGAGGAGTTCTTTAGCACATCCCACTGCTAAGTCTGTGCTGACAGGTGTCTGGAAGCTGTGTGTATCTTGTTAAACGACACTGAGACAAGCCAAGCATGTTCTTTCCATGGAACTGAAGCTCAGCTAATGACTTCAACCTCAGAAACATCTTCTGCCTTTGTCCTGGACAGCCAGCTTCTTCCCGCACCACTACAAGCCCAGCCCTCCCACGAACTGCATTAACTGAGTCCTTGCCCTGTAATGTGTTCCTGAGGATATATCTGCCTGTTTCATGGCTTCAAATAGATTCTTAAATAGCTAAGAATCTTTTTATAGACATGATTCTTTTAAAAATTATTTATTTATTTATATTTTATGTGTATGAATGTTTTGCCTGCATGTATGAAAGTGCACCCACATCATGCAATGCCTGCAGAGGCCAGAAGAGGACATCAGATCCCCTGGAACTCTGGAGTTACAGATGGTTGTTAGCCACCGCGTGGGAGCTGGGAACTGAACCCAGGTCTTCTGCAAGAGCAGCCAGTGCTCTTAACCACTGAGTCATCTTGTTAGCACAAATAGCTAAGGATCTTTTGACCGCCCACACCTTGTCACATTTTTGGGCCACTGTTATCGACTGCTATCCTCTGACTATAATAGCCATTATCATCTTCACCAGAACAGCTGCAACTAAATGCAAGTGACCCTCATGATCCAGCCTATTGACGGTTGACCTTCCCTTATAGAAGGGGGGGTACGCAGGGTCATTGGCTCGTCACCTGAGATCTAGCCATTCCCTCCTGCAGTTCCCTGCCAGCTGCATGCAGTTCTGCCCTGGCCGCTCTCATGGTCTTGAAAGGTACTAGCATATATAGAAGGTGGAAGGTTAACTGAAGGGGGGACTCAGACTATGCAGCTGTGGGGAAGTCATTATCCATTCTGAGGTGAGGCTTTCTGGTAGTACAGATGCTTTGAGACCACTCACAATCCTGTAAGTAGTCCCTCACCCATGCTCTGTAAGTAAGCCTGATAAACTCATTAGACTTTGATGGACTCATATTTCGGTCTGCTGTTGGTGCCCTATCTGGGGGCAGGGTAGGCATTTACTCATGCCTCTCTGGGAAAAGCTCACACAGCTTACATGCTGGGCACGTACTTGGAGCAGGACTGCAGAAGCAATGCACTGAGTTCAGGTACTGCCTTTAGCCTATGCTCCCAGGTGAGTGGTCCCTGTCCCTCCCTGCAGCATGCAAGCACAGCAGATACAGCTCAGGATTACTGGGTCTCTGGGTCAATCTGAGAAAAATCTCACCCGGTCGCTTTTCCCTTCTAGCAGTGCACAGAATCATAAAGCACACCAATCACAAGTTCTGAGGCCCAGCTGAACAGAACCACAGCAGAACTTCTAGAGCATTGAATCCCAGCTCTTCTAAGGATCCCATCTCACTTGGTCTGAGGTGGGCTCAAGGATAGGTGTTTTTGCCAATTTCCTCACATGACTATAGCAGATAGTCAAGATAGAGCTAAGAATCTGAATACAACAGGATCGGGAAGAGTGCTATACAGTGTCATGGTGACTCAGTTTCCCTACCCATGAGAGAAGGTAAGCACAGTCTCTAATGCCCTGGGCCCTTCGAAGGACTGACGTCAGTAATGCAGATCAGTTGCTGGGCACGGCATCCACGCCCATGGGCAGGCGTCCCGCTACCATCATCAGCTCTCTCTCCTTTGACTCGATGATCACTAACATCTTTTATCAATGACCCCACTCAAACATGCAGAACCTTTAGGAACTAAAGACTTAAATGAGAAAATCCCATCGAAACAATTTACTAGCAAGAGAATCTTCCTGTGATCACCCAAAGGAACAGTACACAGTGCTATTGGCTCATAGCTTGCTGCTCTTTGACAAAGTGCTGTTTGGAGTCGCCACTCTCTGATCTTACCTGGCGCATCTCCTTATAGTTGTGGTGCTTAAAATCCAGGTCATCAGTGGTCGTCATCTCATTGCGTCGGTGATAATAGTTATTAGGATCTAGGGACGGAAAGATGGTTTTGAATTCACTCACATTCTGTTATTTGTGGCATCTCTGTTAGGATCCTGGTTCAGGTAGGGACAGTGGAGACATTGAAGTCGAATCCCAGTTTCTGACACTGGTTCAGAAGTAGCGCTGAGCCACCCAGGAGGCACACAGAAGTCAGAACTGCCCAGTAATTAAGAATCAGCCATGGAACCTGAGTTCAAATCCCTACTCTCCTACTCAATGCTGTGTGACCTAGGACAAAGCCCTTGAGCAGTTTGTGCCTTTGGTTTTTACCTGCAAACAGGGAGGGAATGGATCCTCCCTTGTTGATTTATAGCGAGCAGTAGAAGAGATAACTTGTATGCCTGGACAACTGTTGGTAAAAACAAGCAGCTATGAATTTCAAAACCACATGCATGCCACAATTAGACTCCATAGGCCTTAATATATATATATAAGAGTACTTTAAATTGGATGGGTGGGAAAAAAGGGAAGGTGTGGATGGTGTGGAGATGGAAATATCATCAAATCATATTGTGTATATAATAGACTACATTAAATTGTGCTGCTAGAAGTAAGGGAAGGTACAGATAGGAGAGGGGATTTAAATATGACCAAAATATATTGTAGGAAAATTGAAACATTCAATAAAATAAGAGAGAGAAAAATCATATGCATAGCCACAGAGACCTCAGGAAGCATCTGGCCACTGTCAGTCTCTTACCCAGGATGCATCCCCTTTCATTCTTCCTAACAGAAGGCCTGCATGTGGGGATCCCCTCCCTCCCACCTCTCAAACTCTCCAGCCCTCAGTTGCAGGGCCAGGCTAACCATAGCACAGCACGTCTAGCTGCTCTAACTGCAGCACGGAAGTAAAGCATGGGAGGGGAGAGATTGAAACATCTTTCTCCAGGTTAAGAACGCCAAAGAATCACCTGCTTGCTGTGGTGGTCCCGGGATGACCTCAGCGACTAGCAGAGGACAGAACAGAAGCTCGATGACACTGGGAGAACCCGATCAGCCAGCCCTGCAGCCAGCCATCCCTGGGACGCCCACTCACACGAGGGGACACCTCCCCAGATGGGAAGCTCCCGCCATGCTTTCCAGGTGAATGTCCCCAGCTGATGACATACTTTAGGAGGTGGTGGGAACTTAGGCAGGGCCTAGCTGGAGGAAGTGGGTCACTGTGGTGTGTTTTTGAAGGTTCTACCTGGTCCCAGATTCTGTACCCTCTTCTCTGTCTGCTTCCTGTCCAATATAGGGTAAAGAGCCTCTCCAGGACATGCTCCTACCTCTATGCTATTCCTTCCACCTCACCCCATGGAGCCAAGGACCATGGCCTGAGACCTCTGGAACGGTGGTCTCCCTGTAAGTTGTTTATGACAGGCATTTTGTCACTAAGATGAAAGTCTGACTGACACAGCAGCCTCGTGGGAGTAATCAGAGTGTAGTAACAGAGGTGACTTTGAGGACAGGCATTCCCAGCTCAGAGGAGACAGCCTGCTCTCCCTGGATTCCTTTCTGTAGAAGTTGCCTTTTCGGTAATTCCCACGAGTTTGCGCTGTGTCTATCAGTATAGAACAAAGACCAAACAGAAGGGAGATGCCAGGGAGGAGGACGAGCATGAAGGGAACTGGCAAGAAGGAGCCCTGGGTCTGCACTGAGGCCCTTGTCAACTGAGGACGAGCCCTGGCCACCATACTGATACCTCCCACTAGAGGATGCAGTTAGGAGTCTCAGCCAGTACAACGCCCTGCACCCCAATGTGGAGACCGTACTGTGCTTCAAAAAGCCAACCTGTTACGTCAGAGTCCTGTGAACAGCGTGAGAGTCACCGACAGCCTGGGGTCCATCCGGGTGGCTCCAAGGCCCATGCTGGAAGCAGCAGCATTTGTGGGCAGCAGAAAAAACCCTGGGCTGTCAGGAGAGCGAGGGGTCATCTGTGCTGCCAAATGCAGTCCCAGGGAAGGAGCACTGGCTGTCTGTTAGACCCAATCCAGCCCTGCCAAATCAGAATCCATACTGTCACCGAATCCCAGCAGACTGCAGGCTCCAGTGAGAAGCACCAAGCCCTGAGCATACCACAATGGCAGGAAGGAGAACTCAGCATCTGCTCCATGCACAGACACATCAGCTGTGTCTAATGAAGGGCTTTAGCCTCAGGGCCTGAGACCACTTGCAACAAATTAGGAAACACAGGAGGATCCAAGCACTGAACATCAAACAGTGTTTTAAAACTTCATGAAGAGGCTTCTAGAAACACTATCAGAAACAAGTAACTGTTGTGGAAAGTGAGTAACTTGCCAGAGGGTAAAAGAGATAGGGATTTTGTCCAGGCAAGGAAGCAAAGGCCATCTAGGCTCATCCAAGTCCCCCGTTTGTTTCCCAAATGCCTGTTTGGGGCATGGGCTGACCATGCGTGTGGCGAGCTGCCTTCCATTTGATTTCCAGGCCCACAGATTCCAAATAAAGGTGAAGCATAATATTTTTGTATTTTTCTTTGCATTGATTTACACCGAACTTGAGCTTACCGACTTGCTGTTTTCTGAGAGCTATTCAGCACCCACCTACAGCCTCAGGGGCATCTTTCCAAAGGACTTTCTGAAAACCTCTTTTGTTTTCAGACACCAGTAACACCTTGCCTTCAACTTTGTGCAAAAGGGATGAAGAAAAAGCCAGAGCCCCAAGTACAAAAGGGTTCTTGGTCCAGCAATGTTCTTCCTTCCTGAAGACCAGTCCTCATGTTGATGGGTTCGGGTAGGAGATCCTGGACTACATCAAAACCACCAGTATTCATCATGAATTTCTCTCCTATGCTTTGAACAAATACTTCTTTCTTTTCTTGTTTATTTTATGGAACAAAGTTTTACTGAGAACCTCTTAGTAGTCCATCTCTGCTTTAAAACTGAAAAAGGAGCCCAGAGCACACAGTCAGCCAATCAGCCACACAATCCACCATCCCTGGCTCCTTATGTCACAAGAGTCCAGTACCTATTCCATGTGGTTCAGAAGAACTGCCTTGCCGCACATGCACAGGTATGAACATGTGACTCAGATCCTGGCAGTGAACCACTCCCCCAGAGATAATCCCATGATCCATGCTCCCCATGCAACCCTCCTGGAAAGAGCCAAGACATTCTAAAGAGAGACCCTTGTGCTCCATACCCGCCCCCCGCTTGGCTATCAACATATTGAGACAATGGACTGAAAGAAATCAGAATTTCCCCAAGAGTCTCATGCTGAAGCCTGGTACCAGCCAGGTGGGGAGCTTTTCTCCCAAGTAGAGATTTGACATAGATCTGAAAACTTGTCAGACTACCATGCAGCAGACTGAGGCCAGACAACCATGGATCAATGATGGGTCAGGCCACATTTTGACCAGGACTGCTTGGGTATGCATACCTCCTGCCTGCTATTTAAGCCTAAACCTCGTGTTAAGATCCAGAAGAAGGACCTGGATGTTTCTAGTCTCTTTATCTGTTCTTCCTAATGTGGCCACACTGGAAAAAAAACCCTTCCTCTACTTTTCACTATTATTTGTCTCCTTAACTAGAGACATGAGGATGGACAAGAGGTCAGGCCTTGCTCATGAGGGCTGCCAGTGCTCAGGTTCTGACCCTCACAACCTTGGTAACCCCAGAGCTGTAGGAGAGTCCCTTTCTGCTGGAGTTGTTCAGGTGGTAATATGTGACTCTGGGGTGCTTGTGACCAACCTGCCAGTCTGCAAGAGGATCAGAGATAGTCCTGACTCCAATAAGAAGGTCCTGAGCTACTAGCCTTCCCTTTGTCTAAAGCTCAAGTCAGTCCAACCCCTGAGATTTTCATTTATGCCAAAACCTTCTCCTTAAGTGAATGTGTGTAGGCCTGTTGACATTTGAAGCAGAAGTCCTGATTGATTCAGCCTGAGCCTTTATTATCACAGATGGAACTCTGGCAAGCCAGGGGCCTGCCTCCTTCCACATGGTTAGTTTTCAAAAGCCTATGTACTAAAAATGGGTGATTCATTGGGGGCCCTTTAGCTATGGGGAGAGACAAACTCCAGACATAGCACCTAAAATGCTCCAAGCAGCTGACTCACCTCATTATCTTACCTTGTGTTCTATTCACACAGGCCTATGAGTCTGCTACCTGAGCCAACATCTCTGCTGTCTGGTCTTGGTAGAGATGCTAGGCAAGAAGGAAGGGAAGGGAATGACCTTTGCAGCCTCTTGATGCCCAGATACCAGTGGGGACATGGGAATGTCAATATGTCAGCTTTGTCATATCAGTGGTCAGTTACACCCTGGTAGACATCAGCCTTTACAAATGGCATGGTCAGAACTCAGTAACTCCCTTTACAAAAGTAGTTACCAGGTGCCTACCATGTCTGGACTCCTTCCAGGCAAGACCCTACCTTCTCCAAAGAGGAAGGTTTGTTTTACATCCTAAAAATGGCCAGACTACAGCCAAAAGGTGAAAATAAATAGGACTCCTGTGATGGCTAATCCTGGGTAGCAACTTGACTGCATCTGGGATTAATTAAAATGAGAGCAATCTTCTTGACTGGATCATTTGAAGCTGGAAGCCCCATCCTAAACGTGGGCGCTACCTTCTGATGGCAGCCCGTATAAAAGGCCATGTGCAGAAGGAAGCTTTGCTTTTTGCCCCTTGCCCTCCCTCTCACTGGTGAGTTCATTTTACCATTGTGGCCAACTTCAGATTCCAACGTAGACTGATTACCAGCAGATCTCCAGGAATCCTCCAGGCCTTCAGTGCCAGATTGGAACTCCTGAGACATCCAGTCTCGTGGACTGAGCAACTACGAGATTCTCAGCCTTTTCAGTGTGGTGCAGCCATTGTTGGACTACTCAGACTGTATCCTGTGAGCTAACCTAATAAATCCATATATACTATATGTGTGTGTGTGTGTGTGTGTGTGTGTGTGTGTGTGTGTGTATGTATGTATATATAGTACCCATTCTATTTCTTTAGAGAACCCTGCCTAATACAACTCCCATGGGGATGAAATAAGAAACCAGGAAGAGTCCCTGTCCCCTTAAGGAGATGCAGACTCCAAAGCCCCAGCTTTCAAGGCAGCTGCCTACAGACCTTATAGACCTTCACTGCTGGGCCTGTTCTGGAAAGCGGGAAATTAGAACATTTTAAAAGGAGGCAGATTTCAAATGCTAGAAAGGAAGATCTCCAAGTAGTTTGTAACTCATGTTCCAGTGAGCACTGGCCTTCCAGGGCTAGATTAAAATGTACCAGCACTGGCTAAGCCATAAGCTGTAACTAGAAGGTGAACCAACCACAAGCCACAAGGCTCTAAGCTGGCCACAAAGCTAATGGGTAAACTGAGAACACTAAATACAGTTAGTTGTTCCTTCCTGACCCAAAGGGAAAGAAGCTGTAAGGTAAACTGATGATAATAAGAACCGTTAGCTACTATTCCTTCCTGAACTCCAAGACACTCAGAGCAAGTCTTGGCTGACAATAAACGAAACAACATTAAGGTTAACTATTTCCTTCTTGGGATTGCTGGGGCTTGCTGGTCACCAGGCTAGCTCCAAGTTCAGTAAGAAACCTTGTCATAAAGGAAGAACGCAGAGTGTGCTAGAACAGGGAAACTGACAGCCTCCTCTGGCCTCTGTCACGCACATAGAAGCACATGTGTGGACATACACCATACATGTTTTCTTCTTGATTGATCAAAGGAGTGGGGTGCTGCTTTCATACCCAAGGCCCACATACTTTGGAGAAGGGCAACTTTACGCTCTTCTCAATAAGACCTATAAGGAACAAAGACCCTGCATTCACACTTCTCCCCATTTTCCCAGGGCGCTCTCCTCTCTCCAAGGCGTATCTTCACTCGCCTTCTATTAAAAGTGGCTTTTCACCTCCTCCTCTTCATGCCTCAATCCTCACCCTAATGTTCAGGGTGCTCTCCTTTCTATACCCAATAAATTATCCTCAAGTTCCCATCCATGTCCATCCTTAAACTCTTTTTTGTTTTGTTTTGCTTTGTTTGAGACAGTTCCCCTCTGTAGATCAGGCTGGCCTAGACTTTACTATGTAAGCAAGGTTGATCTCAAATTCATGACAATCCTCCTACCTCCATTTCCACAGTATTAGGACCACAATACCATGCCCAGATTCTTATTTTTTTTTTAATTAATGAAGCCAAGAACCTGCAATGGGGCCTCTGTTCTCCTGGTGGCATTTTATCCATCAAGTGACCAGCTGCTCTGGGTGGTCTGGCACCGTCCTGGGTTTTAAACTGAAACTCCCTGGGTGCCAGGCAGACTGGGATGGTTGATCACCTGATCTAACTAAGCACAAGCAGGAAGCAGATCTCCCTTCTTAGAACACATTGCATAAAACATCCCACTAGCATACTGAAACATTCTACTTAATCCCTAAATCCTTTGAATGCCATAACCCCAGAAGCCACCAAAACCACATGTACAGTTATTAAGACATTTAAACGCAACTGCAGAGAAGACAGCGCCCACTCAGGTGTAGCGACTGTCCTTTTCATAAGCTCTTCTTCCTCCCTTAATGCCTGTGTGAAAAATCTACATTAAAACCTTTCCTTAATAAACTCTAGCTCTGCTTCATAAAGGCCCTAAATAATTGTCAGGTAGAAAACAGAACCACACTAAATCCACAGTTGAAAGCTACCCAGATTTTACAATGCAACTGTCTTTGTGAGTGTTTCAATAGCCCCCAGGACCTATCTTCAAATGCACACTAAGAATAACTTCACAGAGAAATATTTATTTCGTGAGATCCACACAGGCTGCCTTCTGCCCTTTACAAACAGCAGATGAATTCGTGCCTGCAGAGAGAAGTCCTGACCCTTCCCTTTACAACAAGCAATTGGTGCTGTGCTAGGCAAGACTCCTGGCCAGAAGTGAAGGGGAGCAGAGCCTCCCTACAGAAGCACGCGGAGATCTGTGACTGCAGATATCCTGGGCCCAGAGAGCCCAGCAGGCTCAAGATGGCAGCAGGCTGGGCGTAGGACTTCAGCTCCAGCAGGGACCAGCCATAAAAAGAGGCTCAAACCCCAGGCAGGCAGCACTCTGATGCTTCAATGCACTCACCACATCAGCCTTGGAAATTGCACAGCCTTTATCCTTCTATCCAAACAAGCTCAGGCAAGGACTGCAGACTCACACACACACACACACACACACACACACACACACACACACACGAGTAATGCAAGACTGTTCATAGAATCAAGATACTGGAAACTACTTACAACAGTACACGAAGATTAAAGGCATGAGATTTTGCCCACAGACTGGAATAGAAAGTATCCACACATGATCTCCAATAGTTTTGGTGACATGAAAAAACCTGCAGTCTAGTAAATGCAAACAAACATAAAGCGAGAAAATGTGTTTGCTGTGAGGGTCATTACGTAGGCAGACAGAACCAACCTTCTCACTAGCGTAAGGTTCATGTTCTAAAAAATCCACAGTTGGCAAAGCCAGCTCATGGATATTATAGGATTGAGAGAAAAATGGTGATATGACATTAAACATGCTTTGAAAACACAACAAATGTGGATTCAGGATAGAGCTGCAGTGACTATAAAAATGTCATCAGAGCTAGATAGGGGCCTGCCCCTGGCAGTGCTGAGGGACTAGGGATCCACAGGCAGTCAGGCTCTAGGTCATACTAGGAGACTGTGTGAGGAAACTCCTAGGAGAAGTCTGGGTAAGAAGACAGCCATGCTCCTGCTCTCCGGACCTTCCCAGTGGGGGACAGAAACAAGCAGTCCTGCAGGCTCCAGTAGGGGTGACAGGGAGAGTGTGGGGCCAGCTGCCTTCCTGGAGATGTTTAAAGAAGAGGCTCTTCCCATAGGTCCCCAGTGGCATATTATTTACTATTTTTATTTTACATGTATGAGAGTATTGCCTACATGTACGTAAGCGCACCTATGTTATGCAATGCCCATGGAAAACAGAAGAGACTTTGGATCCCCTGGAACTAGAGTTACAGACAGTTGTTAGCTGCCATGTGGGTGCTGGGATTCGAACCTGGGTCTTCTGCAAGAATAGTGTACTT